TTTACAATCAGGATTTGTAGATGAATTCCGGTATATGAGACTACTGATGGCCCACGTCATCAAATGGTCTTGGAATCATCTTAGTGCGCTGTGGGTAGAAAACCTTGAAGTGCCATCTTCTTCCCCATTTAAAGTCGTTGTTCTCATTGTTTCCTAATGGTATGAGCCATCGTCACCCCTATGTACTTCACATTTCGATACGCTCCTCCCCTCTTGCAGCGTGGACAACAATTCAGCAGAACTTTCACGGATTATTATTTTCGATAGGAACTTCTTGCTATGCAATTGATCGAAACCTTTCTGTGGCAGTTTCAGGAGACAAATTGTACAAATTTTCAACTAGTTTGAAAGATTGGCTCGTGCCAGTTTTGATGATTAGTCCATGAAACTTTCGCGTTTTCGCAGAGTACCCTTTCAAGTTTGCCCCCACATATTTCTTTAGGTTCTGCTCGAGCTAAGTTGAGTGCCCTTGGAAATGGTGACAAATCTTCCTCGAGGGCAAAAACAGTGGCATGGCAACATAATTATGAATGACCCTGTCTGTACCCTCCACGGGCAAACTGTTTATGTTTCCAAATGGTGCGGAAAGGGAATAACCCTAAACTATTATTTTAGGCGCTATCGCAAGATACGGGGACATTGCGGTGGCAATGAATTCAAAACCGCGTGAACAAACGTGAACATCTCCTTTTTGTTGAAATCAGAACGAAGCCTCATGCGAGGAGGAGAGGCTTCAAGGTGCGCGAGCGATTTTCATTTCCCCGGTGCTCCTGTCCTCTCCTAGGCCTAGTCCTAGAGTGGCCCCCTGTCTTGCGATAGCGATTTTTTCAGCTTATTTTTAGTTTCTCTGAAATTTAGTAAATTCAATCAAAGCAACAAGGTTAGTGGTCCATTCGCGAGCAGTAGGACGAGTTCGATAAAAGAAGCGGCAAAAACACGTAAATGGGTAAATATGCGTCTTGCGCACCCGCAGATCATTAAGTAACCAATTTGACAGAAATCTACGAATCCTCACGAAATACACAATAAGTGAAGCTGCAGCTGTAAGAGACCGAAAACTAACTTTTGAGGGCGGCCTCGCGACCGATGGTAAGCTTCGGTAAGTACTCACTTCAGACACCGCAGTTTTCGATGCTGTCCAGCACGCTACTCGCACACTCCACGTGCCAAATCTCCAATTACCAGCACTTAATCTGATCCGTCCATTGCAGAAAACAGGTTCCGAACTCAGAAGCTTCAAGCAGGCGAACAACGATCTTCAGTTTTTCCTCTCTTGATTCGCCTTTTGTGCTGAACGGGAGCCATCGCCATTCGACTGAAATAACGTTTGGCCTTCATTTCCTTTTGATATGGTATGAATAGCTGACACTTACGATATTTGTCGCGGGAACCATTATCTTCTGAGAGACCAATCGGTTTATTTCTTCAGCGGCTTCACTGATGTATTTTCGAGCATTCTGCGCATTAACCTGAATAGAAATATTTCTGAATCTACCGTATTCTAGTCGAGAAAATGTGGGAACGAACCTGAGCTATTCGTCTTAGCTGCTTCATATCCGTACCGGCCTGCTGCACCTTTTGACGAAGATGATCAAGTTGATGTTGGGTATGAGATGAGAGACTATCCGGTAATGAAGGTGGTTCTTCTGAGGCAGCTCGTTCGGCATCGGGATGAAGTGCGAGAATCTGAAAGGGATCCTCATTGGATAACTGCCTGGGTTAGAGAATGTTCTGAAGTACTTCTCCCGAGATCGGCCATGTCCCTTCGACTGCTTTCGCTCATTCCTTTGCTCACCAACGCTGAATGAACGAGGCTCGACAAGCCAGCCAACTGACGCTCCATCGTCTCCATTCGAGCTCTGCAGGTAAAAAAGAATCGTAAACGTGCAGCGATGAAAGTGTCGTAAAATCAGCAGATGACCATCTAAGCATTCGTAACCACAAACCTCCCTGACTTGGCCTCATAACAAGGTCGGGGGGATGATGCGCTACGAAGGCGCACGAATGGCGAACTCATGGCGTTGAAGGTCTCGATTTGTCATGAACTAATGGGGCATTCGGGCCATGGCCGACCAGCTGATATAGCATGAAAAAGGACGACGGCGGTCGTTGTGCAAAACGTGTCCTAAGCATGATGAATGAATGAGTTATAAAAGCGCGGCACGTTCTTACTAGCTGGGCCCACCACAGGAGTCCTTACAGAGCTTCCTTCAGAGCTTTCGGACGGGTGACAGACGCACGATGGGAATACGCGCCTCCCACCTCCTCGATTCCCGGTCGATCACCGGTGTCGCTGAGCCGCTTCTTGTCACCGATCGTGAGTCATGACTGCTCGTGTCACTGCTGTATGCGTCGTACGGCTCGTAGCTCTTGCGCGAACTCTTGCGATAGTCCGTGTGAGCCATCGCCGATGCTGGACGAGCCAGAGGAGACGAACCTGAATCAGGGCGAGGTTTGGTCTAGTTTGACTCTACCTCGTAGTGTCAAACTCCGCTCTTGAAAAACTATGGTTCCTTGTTGAAACTCAAAAAGTCCCCCAGCTCTCAGTCTTTGGAACACGAAGAGGTAATCAGGGAATCTTATGAACCCTTGACAAGGCGATCACTTACCTCTGCCTGCTGTCATCGTTCTCCGTTTCCGACAAGTAGTCTGGTTGCTCGAGATATCGAACTGGCGACTGCATCCCTGTGGTCGAATGATCGCGAAGCTTCAGAACTGACTTGTTTCGGATATCACTGAATCAAAATCAAGCATTACTGCGTATGCCAGTAATCGATTGACTGAAATCCATTGTGTGCATCTCCATGAAGTTTTTGTGGTGTGTTTCATCAGTAACCATTAATTAATAAGCATTCAATAATTTCAATAGTATTGAAATACATAATGTTTGGTTTCTGCACAAGAAAAAGTATACTGACCACTTCGGAACTTGATGTGATCAGATGTTGTCTACTCAAGTTAGAAAGATGACTTTCCTATACAGGCGAAGATGAAACGCATGCAGTTTTAGATGGAAAAACATTGTAAAAACTAAGCAGCACAAAAGGATAAAAAGGATAAAGCATTTGCCGTTGATCAATCCCTTTTTGGGATGCGGCACGCATTCTACTTCCATTTGTACATTCGTAGTGGCGTTTGAATGCGATGTGGCCTATACAATGACTTGCGGGGGCCAGCCGATGTACAAGTCAGTGTTTTTATCCAGACAAGTCTGGTACCAATTAACCGACCCCGGAGGGATGGAAGGCTTGGTTGGCCCGGGCGACTCACGACCCAGGATTTGATCCCCGGACCGCTCGCGTGGTAAGCGCGCCACTTGTCACTACACCACTTCCGCCCTAGCACAAAACTACTGAATAGCATTAACAGAAAGATTCTAATTCGTATGGCTTAATTCGTATGGCTGCGTGAGGCACATGGTGCACCACGCGTGAGAAATAGACTTAATGTTTGCGCTGCAACTTGTTCTGGCTATCTCATTGTGGTTGAAGTCCCTAGACTTACTTTGAAAGCCGGCTAAGTTGACACTTTTGCTCGGCCAGATGGATCTCCCTTGACATACTTGTTCTTTTTTGGTCAACATTTCGTGATGAATGCGCTAATTGGTAGTG